TATCCCTTATCCCTTATCCGTGTCCTGTTCTGTTCTATTCTCAACTCCCCCCCACACCAACCAAGCTTTGCTCTTCATGCACCAGTGTCAGCAGGAGTCGATGCATTGGGTGAACCCAATTTGTTTCTTAACAATTTTTTATTAGTTTATAATGGAATGGCAGTGACAAAATGTGTGTGTGTGGGGGGGGGGGGAATGCTGCTTCCAAGGACAGGCCCCCCACTTTCAGGGTCAGGATAGATGGCATTTTTTTTATTAATGGGACTCATAGCACAGAAATGTCTCTTAACGTGAGGATTCTGAATTCTTATTTTTGGCCTCTTGGATGAGTACAGTGTAGGAAGATCCCGTACATGGAGCTTTTTTTGTTTTCTTCAGATAAAAGTATTGGGAATGAAAACTCATAATTTTTAGGAACAAGAAATTTGGGCTGTGAATTTAAAGCTATTTTGTAAACTTTTTTTTCCTCCCATCTTTTGGAGTTTGAGATTTATTTTTAACTAAGTAAAATTATAGGATTCTGGCCATTGCTTTCTCTTAGGAAAGTATCTGATCTACCATCTTCACCAAGCCTCAGTAGGTGGCAGTAGTTGTCTGACTTTGAAAAATAACCATGATTGGATCTGGTTTGTAGTGGATAGAAGACTTGGACCACAGATTAGCCTTCCAGAAAGTTTTGAAACATAATTTTTTCCTTTGCAAATATATATAGCACTTTCATCTAAGAATCCACATTTTGTGCGAGTACTTGGGCGACATTATTTGATAGGAAGAAAATTCAATCCAGCATCTTTTTTGTGGTTTGTATAGGATTGGTAAAGGAATAAGGCTTTGGTGTTGTAGGGAAAAAAATGAAATGCTGGAAACAGTCTGGAGTTGTAAACAGTAAAACAAATTAATTAAATTTCTATACCAGCCATCTTACCTAAATGAGTTGGGACGATTTAGAACTTCCTAATAAAACCATATAAAAGCATGAATAAAAACATAAATTAAGATCAGGTCAAAACTTCCAAGTAAAAAAAGGTAAAAATAAAAAATGCAAAAGCTAGGAAATTAACAAGGCAGTGGCAGTGTTCTTAGTTATAAAAAAAAAGTTTGTAACTGCAAAGTATTTCTAATTTCTCCACGGTTTAGATAGATCACCTAAAAAACAAACATCTCACAACTTTAGAAAGGTAAAATTTGCCTAAAGATTTTCTGCAGAAATGTTGACTTGGAAAATAGTCCTTTTTTTACAGAAGTTTAAAATATATCTCAAGAAGAAAGGAGTAGCAGATCACTTCTATTCTCTGCCAAGAAAATTGAAGGAAAGACTGAACTCTAGGAAGGTTATGCTTTTTATTGAATAACTAAGGGGAAAATTGATTAAATACCAGTGAATACAAGGCTTTGCAACCTCAAGTCAACTGACTTAGCAGAATTTGCTTGGCCCTTTCCATTCTACCTTTCAGCAGTTTGAAAACTAGACTAGGCAGATTGAATTACATGAACAGATAATGCATTATTGGACCAATCTGTAGTTAACTGAAACATGGTTTATTTCAGTATTTCAATTTTCCTGGGTTTGTATAGTGCAGTGAGCTACACATTGAACCATTCTGGCCAGGCATATTGTGAAGCAACAATCTGTATGTGTGAAAGTATGCAGAGTTGGTTGAATTAACACACTACGATATGTCATAACATGGTTTGGTTTTAGCACAGCTTGTAAAAAAAAATCAGCCTGAGTGTTTTATAAGCCATTCTTTATTGCCAAGCCAGTTAATGGCTACTCGATAAGTCATGATGAAGTCCTCGCTTAGTACGAAGGGTGTATCCACCCATTATTGTAACCTTGAAGTTGGCAGCAGATGTGAAATAATGACCTACATTCAAAAAATAGAGAAGGGCAGACAGCCGATTCCCTTAACTAAGGAGTAATGTAAAATAATTGATTTCAATCATAGACCCATAGAATCATAGAAGAGAACCTGGAGAACCTCACACCATCCCAAATAAATGACTCTCCAATCTCTATTTTAAAACTTCCAGTGTTGGAGCACCCACAACCTCTGGACCAGTGGTGGGATTCAAATAATTTAACGACCGGTTCTCTGCCCTAATGATTTCTTCCAACAACCAGTTCACCAAACTCCTGAGAAAGTTAACAACTGGTTCCCCCCAAACTGGTGCGAACTGGCTGAATCCCACCACTGCTCTGGAGGCAAGTCATTCCACTGTTTAATTGCTCTTAATGTCAGGAAATTCCTCCTTTCAAGTTGGATTTCCCTCTGCCTAGCTTCTACCCATTGCTTCTTGTCCTGCCCTCAGTGTGTTATTATACCGCTATTAAAGTTCAGGGCATAATGTTTGTTGAAGTTTTAGTCTAAACACCCCTAACAATGTGTCTACTGAAGACAGATTTGTCTGATGTGACATACACAGTATTACTATTAATTGAATGCATGGATTACACATGCAAATATATGCAGATTAATTTTTAAAAACCCAATAACACCCAAGCAATGTATATAGATAATAGATGTCTGTGCATCTGCATTGAGCTGATTAATTTCTAGTTAAGTGTTAAAAGTGTCAGAAATTTAAAAATCACTTAAAGATGCCCAACTGCTATTTGCATATCTGATTGCCACAGCAAAGCAAGCAGAATTTTCCGTTCTTCCTCATCCTTTGTTGCTACTACTCCCATTCATAAATAAACTTTGGGATTCAGATACGGCTATATCCTGAGTGAGCTGTCCTTCTATAAAGCACACAAGTGAACAGGATGATAATAATTAATCCCGACAGACTTAAGCCAATTGTCACTGGGATCAACTTCTTGTTTCTGTCCAACGTGCACTCCTCTTCTGCAATTTGGAAGGAAAAAAAAAAAAGGAATATTAGACTTCAATAAAGAAGCATCATATGATTCCACAGTGATTTTTATCTTCCACGTTGATTTTCATCTTAGTCAAAAGCTATAGAAAATCATCCCAGATTTTGTGAGCACCATATGTAAAAGTTAATCTTCGTACCAGTTAAAATCATTTGAACTATGGCAAATCCTTAGAGAGGCAATTTGGTCTAGTGGTCGAGGCACCAGACTAGAAAGCCAGTAGACTGTGAGTCTAGATTGCTAGACCAATACTTGAATACAGCTCATCTGTCTGGAATCTGCACTGTATATTGGACAGTAATACAATTGAGCGTGGCCAGAAGTATTTCACAAGAAGAGTACTACGCTCCTCTGCTCGCAACAGAATATCCTGCATCACCAGGCTTGAAATTTTTGGCTTGGACAATCTTGAACTACACCGCCTATGGTTGGACTTAAGCGTAGTACACAAAATTATCTGCTACAATGCCCTACCAGTCATTGACTACTTCAGCTTCAACCACAACAATACAAAAGCACACAACGGATACAAACTCAATGTTAACCGCTCCAAACTTGATTGCAGAAAGTACAACTTCAGCAACAGAGTGGTCAGTGCCTGGAATGCACTACCTGACTCTGTTGTTACATCCTCTAACCCCCTACTCCTTTAACCTCAAACTATCCACTATTGACCTCACCCCATTCCTAAGAGGTCTGTAAGGGGCGTGCATAAACACACCATCGTGCCTCCCGTCCCTGTCCTATTGTCCCCATTTATTTGTACCTATTTCCTCTATTCTTACTCATGTTTGTACTTATACCTGTTATCTTGTAAGTGATTGACAAATCCAATAAATAAATAAAATAAATAAACAGGTCCCACCTTAGAGATGAAAGCTGGCTGGGTGACTTTGGGCCAGTCATACTCCCTCAGCTCAACCCACCCTGGCCCTCCTTGTTATTGTTGTGATGAAAATAGGAGGAAGAAAGGGTCTTCCATATGCTCACTTTTCAAGCATTTATATAAACAACAAAGGCATGATAAAAATAATAAATAATAAGGCTATGAATCTTGACAATCCCAGTAAGATTGAAAGTGGTCGTGTTTAGAAGTGGAGACCCTTCTCTAATGAGAGGTGGAGACAGAGCCGGTTCTGACCAGTTCTGGAGAACCGGTAGTGGAAATTTTGAGTGGTTCAGAGAACCGACAAATCCCACCTCTGGTTGGCTCCGCCCCAATCTATTCTCCGCCTCCAGAGTCCCAGCTGATTGGCTGGCACTTCTTTGGTTGCCCTGTACAGGAGAATGGAGCTGGAAAGCAGGTTAGTGGGGTGCGGAGGGAATGGCGTTACCCTCCCCAGGAGTGGGGAGGGAATGGGGATTTTGCAGTATCCTTCCCCTGCCACGCCCACCATGCCATGCTACACCCACCAAGCCTCACCCCACAGAACCAGTAGTAAAACAAATTGTATCCCACCACTGGCTGTATGCAACGAAGTTTCATTTTAATGTATGCCGATCCGTGTACATTCAAAATGACAATAAAGTTATTCTAAGTTCTAAGTCTGTGTGTTGCCTCCTGGCAGTCTGTACATCTGAAAATTATAAAAAGCATTTGTTCTTTTGGGGGCTACTAGGAAATTTATTAAATGAGTCCTACGCACATATTTGTATGCATTCAAAGTTGGCTTGGATTAAATGCAACATGGCTGAGAGAGGAATCAGTGAAATCTTCATCGCTTCGCATCTATCCCAAGACCCAAAGCTCATGGTGTGAAAATGCCCCTTTGTGCCCTCAGCAGAAAACATTTAATCATAGGAACCCCAGGATTGCATGTATACTAACCTTTTCCAAATTGGTTATTTACGATGTCAAAGGCTTGGAGCTGGGAATTGGCGGCCTGCAGTTGAAAGTTGTTGGCCAAGGCCACCGTTTGCTTACTGAAACATTTGAAGGAATTTCCCACCGGTGTAGAAAAGAGCTGGTCATTTTTAATCCCGTTGTACATAAAACCTGAAATTGGCAGAGAAAGACACATCGCTGTTGATCTTTACGGCTAATTTTATCTCTGGTACGTCTCTGTGTCTGTGCAATACCAAACCCTAAAACTAATGCACAACACTGAGCTGTGCTTTAGATCAGGGGTCTCCAACCGTGGCAACTTTAAGACGTGTGGACTTCAACTCCCAGAATTCCTCAAGAACTCTGGGAGTTGAAGTCCACAAGTCTTAAAGGTGCCTGTTTTAGGTGTCCTGGTTGGAGTCATACTATTTCAGGCAGTAGCGGATTAAGGCTTACTGGTGCCCTAAGCACTGACAAATCTTGGTTCCCCCCCCCTACTTTGTACATACAAATGAAGCCATATTCTCAATTTTGTGGTGCCCACTTTGGGCCTGGTGCCCTAAGCACATGCTTAGTCTGCTTAATGGTTAATGGTTAATACACCACTGAGTTCAGAGTCTCTAAACTTAGCAACTTTAAGACTTGTGGACTTCAACATTCAGAATTACCCAGCCAGCATGGGGGATTCTGGGAGTTGAAGTCCACAAGTCTTAAATTTGCCAAGTTTGGAGACCCCCCTGAACTAGGCTAATGTTTCTCAACCTTGGACACTTTAAGATACACGGACTTCAACTCCCAGAATTCCCCAGCCAGGTTGAAGTCCACACATCTTAAAGTGGCCACAATGCAAAAGAGATGCCGAGACTCCGGAAAGTGTGCAGAGAAGAGCAACGAAGACGATGAATGGCCTGGAGCAGAGGTGGGTATTCAGCAGGTTCTGACCAGTTCTGGAGAACCGGTAGCGGAAATTTTGAGTAGTTCAGAAATCAAATACCACTTCTAACTGGCCCCACCCCCATCTATTTGCTGCCTCCCATTGAGTCCCAGCTGATTGGTTGGGTCTTTTTGGTTGCCCTGCACAGGAGAACGGAGCTGGAAAGCAGGTTAGTGGGGTAGGGAGGGAACGGAGATTTTGCAAGAACCTTCCCCCAGGAGTGGGGGGAGGGAATGGGGATTTTACAGTATCCTTCCCCTGCCAAGCCCACCATGCTGCACCATGCCCACCACGCCACGCCCACAGAACTGGTAGTAAAAAAAAATTTTGAATCCCACCACTGATCTGGAGGTAAAATATGATGGACAGTTGAGGCAATCAGGTATGTCTAACTCTAACCTATCAAAGAGAAGGATGAAGGGTGGGCCTAACAGCTGTCTTCCAGTGCTTGAGGGACTTTCACAGAGAAGAGGGAATTGACTTATTCTGCAAAGTATCTTGAGGTCGGGAGAAGAATTCGTGGGTGGCAGCTTGATAAAGAGAGATCCAACCTAGAGGTAAGGGAGGGAATTTTCTGGCAATGAGAAAAATTAATCAGCGGGATAGCTTGCATGCTGGAGTTGCGGATGTTCCATCGCTGGGAGTTTTTAAAAATAGATTGGAAGATCATTTGGGATCAGGGGTGGGCTTCAAAAATTTCACCATCAGTTCCCTGCCCTGTTGCTGGGTGGGAGTGGCCTAGTCAGCCTCCTCCACCAAAGCAGTGTGTGGGGGGGTCGTTTTCACCCTCCCCAGGCTCCGGAGGCTTTCCTCGAGCCTCTGGGAGGATGAAAATGGCCTCCCCTCAGATTCCAGAGACTTTCTAGATTGGCCCTCCCCGAGCATCTGTGCGGGCCCTGCACTTACCTCACATCCAATACGGGCCACGAGGAGACTTCTGGGAGGGGAGGGGTGGGAGGGGAGGGGCCAAGCAGGGGTGGGATTTGGCTGTTTGCTGAACCGGCCATAACATTAGCTACAAGTTCTCCTGATCCCAAGCAAACCCGTAGCAATCCAGCCCTGTCTGGGATGATATAAGATCTGCTTTGAGCAAGGGTTTGGTGGTATTCAGCAGGTTCTGACCAGTTCTGGAGAACCGGTAGCGGAAATTTTGAGTAGTTCGCAGAACCGGCAAATCCCACCTCTGACTGGCCCCGCCCCCATCTATTCTCCGCCTCCCGAGTCCCAGCTGATTGGCTGGATCTTCTTTGGTTGCCCTGCACAGGAGAACGGAGCTGGAAAGCAGGTTAGTGGGGTGGGGAGGGAATGGGGATTTTGCAGTATCCTTCCCCTGCCATGCCCACCAAGCCACTTCCACCAAGCCACACCCATAGAACCGGTAGTAAAAAAAAAAAAATTGAATCCCATCACTGGTTTGGACTAGAAGACCCCCAAGTTCCCTTCCAACTCTTAAGATTCTATCTTATATTTGTAATCCAGCATTTAGTTGTGACAGTATCTCAGGGAGAGATGGATTCCAACTTAAGCCATCACCTGAATGTAGAAGACACCCTGGTACCTACCTTGCGAGAGAATGGTCAAAGAAGCTTCAATCATGCTGATATAATAGATTTTTTCCTTCTGCAACGGGAAGAGAAATAAAGGGTGGGGTTTTTTTTCATGCCAATAACTTCTTAGAATTAGCTTGGATTCATGCATCCCATTATGCCTTTATATTTTTCAAGGCTGATCTTTTTTTTTTTTAATAAAGTTTTATTTGGGTTTTCACACACAAAATACAAATAAAACATCTTTTTTGAAAATAGCATGGTCCCGGATTGAACTTCTTTATACAGACACAAAATTCAATTTCATGCTCCTTTTTGTGTTCTATTCCATATCTTTATACTATTCTACATTTTCTATATAGTTTTTCCCCTCTTTTAATTTTCTCAATTTTATTTTGATTATCGCTTCTCAATTCAAATCATTATATTTATACTTTTGTCTGTTCTGTTTCAATTTCATATTATCTTTTCTCATTAAACAAGTTTTCTCCTGTAGTTACTAATTGGAGTATGACACCTTTATATCTTTTAATTACATCCATTCAATTCTCATTTAAACTTCAATATATACCTTAAGGTTATGACCTTCAATATAATACATAACTACCAATAGAATTCTGCTTGGTACATTCTTATAATACACACTATATTCTTTTAAAAAAGGATTATAAATATATGTAATTATAAACCCTCATTCCATTCCAATTCAGTTCTATCATTAATAATCATTAAAATCTTAAAATCTTTAACATTTCTTTTCAATTAAATATCATACTTCCTTAAAGACACATATAATCTCCATAATTAATTTTTCCCTTCTCTTCACACATGTTTCGTAAATCATTAAATATTCATTTTGTTACATTTATTTATTGACAAGCATTCCACTGAATTACGATAGCTATTTTATCAAACATTTTAATCATACATTGTTTCATATTTTCTAAAAATTATTTCTGTTTCTAATATAACAATACTATCTTATGTACCTTTGCAGAATCCCTTTTTCCATTAAATTTTCACCCATTATCTCTAAATAGGCCCTGTTTCTCTACATTTTGTTTCTGTCCTTTATAACTTATTTTCCTTTCTTTCTTCCCTCTCATCTTCTCCCTCCCCTTTTTACCCCCTTGTCTCTCTACTTCTAATTCTCTCTTCTGCATTTCCCTCTTCTGTTGCTTTCTGATTTTATACTTATTTTTCACTCTATTTTTTTTTTTGGAGTTGTTTTTCCCAATCTTAAACTTTCCATTCTCTTTCCCCACTTTCCTTTTTCCCCCCACCTAAGATTACTTGTTCATTAAAGATGGCTTCTTCTTTGTCGCAATCTTCTTGCTCTGCAGGCATTTTTTGTTGTTTCTCATAATTCCAAATCTCCATTTCTAAAAATTGAAATACGAAGCCAAAAGAACCTCTCCCTTCTTGTGAATCTTCTTTGTACTTTTTGATTTCCATTTTCAGTTCTTCTAAAAGTGGAGCCATTTTAAACAGTTTTAAACAACCACCCGATTGATTTTAGTCATTCAAATACAATAACCAAAAATCCAGAAATCATCAAGTAGTCCAAATAGTCCCGAGTTATATCTTCTTATTTCTTTTTCGACTTTCTCTTCCTGGGGTTTTTGTTGTGATATATCAGTTAGAATGTACCTTTTGGAAGTCTTGTTGAGATTTTGCTTTAAGTTCTTTTTAATTCCAGGCAGTCTCCTCCCTTCCAGATCCTGCCCTTTTATTCTTTTTCTCTCCTTTCCTGTTTTCAAAAACTTTTGATTATCCAGAAATCTTTATTATCCCTTTGACTTTTTATTTTCAGCATTAAATGCCTATTGATGTCAAAGTGGATTTTTTCCCCCAATTTCTTGCTTAAGTCTCTTAGCTGTCAGTATAGGAAAAGGAGAAAAAAACCCCAAATCTTTTCCCGTTTCTCTCTCCTTCACAGCTTAAAAATCTTCTTAGGGAACAATGTTATTTTTTTTAATAGTTTCAATTCCAGGGTACTTTATTTGTTGCTTTTGCTGTTTGACCCGGTCAACCAAAACTTTCTCTTCTTATCTTCCTCCTGCACATTCTTTTCCGGTCAAGTTCTTCTTTGTGGTGGCCATTTCTGACCACCGCTACAACCGCCTTCGGGAAAGGGAGTAATGGCCAGCTGGGGAGGAGAGACGTGGCTCTCCTCAACCCTGCAGGCAGTCTCCCCCCTCTTCACCACCTCTATGGGGTGGCTTAGCCCCGAAACCACCCGGATCGGGGCGCTCCAGAGGCAAGCACGGATCGAAGCCTCACAGAGACGAGGCTTGGGTCTGTCGCCGAAGAAGCTCAAACCGGAAGTCCCAGAATACAAGCTCCAATTCAAATCCCAACAAAGATTATAAAACCCAGGCACTCTCAGCATACCAGCCCTTCTTGATCTTCTCTTTTTACCTTGAAGCATGCAATCATTCTTTTCACTTTGAAGCTCCAAGCCATGTGGTCCTGTCCACCATTAAACCATCTTTCCAAACAGCCTCCATGTTTCCAGTGTCTTTTTCCCCACTTGGAACTGAACCCAGAAGCCATATTCACTTAACAACCATGTTACTTAACAGCTGCAGTGATTCACTTTTACAACAGTGGCAAGAAAGGTCGTTAAATGGGGCAAAAACAGCTGTCTCGCTTAACAACAGGCGTTTTGGGCTCAGTTGTGGTCCTGAATCAAGTACTACCTGTGCATAAAGTATGGTTTATAGTCCACTGCATTTCACACATCACGCTGAGCCTCATAAAGACACAGCATAAGGGACACGATTCTCCTCTACGACATCGTAAAGCAAACATCACCATTTTGTGTTTGTGTTCTGACATGTGAAGCAAGTACATAAATTAGGGCATTTCTGCACATTCAAGCTGGCTCATACTTCACTATTGATCTCCATGCCCTCCTGGGTTGCACACCTGTAACAAATAAAGCCCAAAGCAAACTACCATATATTACGGCTTATCACAATGGGGGAATCTGAGCCTTCTTCTTGACAGTGGCTGCATTCATACAACATCCTTCACGAGATTGGGGAAAAAGTCTTTTCAAATGCTTTTTTGCTAAGCATGATTACGATCAATCTTTTTTCTCTCTACCTTCTTTATCTAAAATCAACCTGTTTGGTAGGTTTAATGATTCCAAGTTTCTCACAGCTCAGAACAAAGGTTAATTCAGCAGTCTGATTATAGGTATTCATTTATTTAGGAAAATTTATATAGCCGCCTACTTGCTCATGGCGACTCTAGGCAGCTTACAGAAAATCAAACACGATAAAGAAAAAATAAAAATAATAACAAATAGTGATAAAATAACACACACACACACACACACACACACACACCCTGTTCACACACTGTTGTGTGAATGTCATTGGGTAAGAGTATTTATGGTATGTGTTAGGAATGTAAGTCACCTAACAGTTGGGTTGGAAATATATAAAACAGGATAGACATTTTAATATTGTCTCTTTAGGGGAATGCTAAAATTGTAATTGGGTGTGGTTCCTCAAATGGCCATAAGATGGAGCCAGAAACCTGGTTTCCGAGAGTGTTGCCATTCCTGCATTTCCCTATTGACTGTTACTGATCATCATTATTCTTGGATTTGATGTGAGTCTTTTACTGAACTGTTTTTGATACTGGACTTTGTTATTGGATTATCCCTGGACTGAAAACTGACTGCTATAAGCGTGTATGACTTGGACTGTTTGATGGACTTTGCTTAACCATTTACTGGAAGTAAAACCTACATTTTACTATACAGTGTAGCTGTGTGCTGTGTGTGTGTTATTCAACATTACTTTCACTACGTCTCCCTGTGTGCACTCATTCTCCTAACGGGGAATTACCTCAACAGTATGGCCAGGTCTTTCTCTTTTCAAACCTTGTCTATATTTTTCCTCTTTTAAACGCCGATAATAAAGGAAAATTATAAAGCACCTAAATACTAGGAATCCAGTAACTCGGATTCTGGTTGGTAAATGTACTTCTTGAGGAAATGGGAGAGAAACTTCTACTCATATTTCAAGGATCAGATCTGAACTACTTCTTGAATTATGAAAGGATCAGATTATGCAATGCAATATCTTTAGAGGCACCGGCCTTGGAGGGCAGTGGGAAGGATTAGCCAACTCAAAATTTACATCATTGTTTCACGAAAGCCATTGATGTGCCTCTCAAGTATGCAGCCCTTTCTAAAATCTTACTTGAGTGAAATAATACTTCAGTTGCAGAACACAACTGGAACACAAACACTAGAAGCCAAGCCTTTATTTGAAAGGCAGGGGGTTGGAGAGATGAAGAGGGGCTTACTCCATTACTCCATTACTCCATTACCTCATAATCAGTGAGGCTGTGAGTTCAATCCTAGGTAGAGGCAGATATTTCTCTCTCTCGGCACAATGAGAATGTATCTGCTAAATATAACTCTGCATTGGTGACAGGAAAGGCATCCGGCCAGGAAACACTCAGTTCCATTAAGTTGACCAGACTCCACCCCGCAAGGGGTGATGGGGTCATTAAAAGAAGAAGATGATGATGATTTATGTCCAAGTGGAAGACAAAGAGAGTCTTTTCATTTTCCTCAGATCTATTGTGAAATCTGGAACAATATCGGTAGTCCTTCAATCACTCGTTTAGTGACCGTTCAAAGGTATAATAGCACTGAAAACGTGTCTTAGACAGGTAATCCTCCACTTGCAACAGTTCACTTACAAACCATTCAAAGTTACAATGGCACTGAAAAAAGTGACATGACCATTTTTGACCGTTTCGACAGTTCCAGCATCCCCATGATGATGTGATCCAAATTCAGATGCTTGAGAACTCACTCACCCTTATGACCGTTGCTGTGTCCCAAGATCATGTGATCACTTTCTGCGACTTTCAGATCAGCAAAGTCAATGGGGAAGCCACATTCACTTAACAACCAGGTTACTAATCTGTCAACTGCAGTGATTCACTTAACAACTGAGGCAAGAAAAGTCACAAAATGGGACAAAATTCATTTAACAAATGTCTCACTTACCAACCAGAAATTTTGGGCTTAATTGTGGTTGTACGTTGAAGACTACCTGTAATTGGTCCTCACACTTACAACTGTTGAGTATCCCCATGGTTGCATGATCAAAATTCAGACGTTCGGCAGCCACCATGTACAAATGGCTCCTGTGTCCAGAGGGGAAGCTTAATAATGGCAAGAGTTAACTTAACAACCGCAGGGATTCACTTAATGACCAGGAGGGAAAAGATTGTAAAATTGGGTTTGACTCACTTAACAACTGCCTCACTTAGTGACAGAAAGTTTGGTCCCAATTGTGGTCATCATTCAAGGATTATTTATAGCCTTTTGTTACACCATACCTCTGAATCAGGTAATGTGTATGTGTGTTGCATACACAGCATTTTGTGCCTTAGAAACTGACCAAACTTCAGTAAAGCAAAAATAATTATTTACTAATTGATCACTCTTGTTTTCTCTTTGTTTCAAGGCTGCCCGGATCTTAACTCGTGCAAAGTGTGGGTCAACAGGCAGTGCTAAATTACAGCAAGCTAAATAATCCAGAACTACTTGGTCTGACATAGATAATTCAATCTGTGCAGCTTATTATCAAAGAAAAGTAAAAGAAGGTAAACACAATTGGTATTTAACAGATTAACAGATTAACAGAGTTGGAAGGGACCTCATAGGTCATCTAGTCCAACCCTCCCGCCAAGCAGGAGACCCTACATCACTTCTGACAGGTGACAGTCCAGTCTCTTCTTGAAAGCCTCCAGTGATGAAGCTCCCACAACTTCTGAAGGCAACTTCTGTTCTGTTGATTGATTGTTCTCACCGTCAGAAATTTTTTCCTTATTTCCATGTTGAATCTCTCCTTGTTCAGAGGTGGTATTCATCAGGTTCTGACCAGTTCTGGAGAACCGGTAGTGGAAATTTTGAGTAGTTCAGGGAACCGGCAAATCCCACCTCTGACTGGAGATTTTACAGTATCCTTCCCCTGCCACGTCCACCAAGCCACGCCCACAGAACTGGTGGTAAAAAAAATTGAATACCACCCCCTTGTTCAGTTTCCATCCATTATTCCTTCTCTGGCCTTCAGGTGATTTGGAAAATAGCTTGACCCCTTCCTCTCTGTGGCAGCCCCTCAAATATTGGCACACTGCTATCATGTCTCCCCTGGTCCTTCTCTTCACTAGACTAGCCAACCCAGTTCCTGTAGCAGTTCATCCTATGTTTTAGTCTCCAGTCCCCTAATCATCCTGGTTGCTCTTCTCTGCATTTTTTTCTAGAGTCTCAACATCTTTTTTCTAATGTGGTGACCAAAACTGGATGCAGTACTCTAGGTGTGATCTTACTAAGACTTTATAGAGTGGTTTTAGTACCTCACTTGATCTCAATTGTATCCCTCTGTTCATGCAATTTAGGATGGCATTGGATTTTTTTGTGGCTGCACATTGTTGGCTCATATTTAGCTGGTTGTCCACTAAGATCCCAAGATTCCTCTCCCAGTTAATACTATTAATCCTGGTTTCACCCAGTCTATATGCCATTGAAGTCTCTCGTGGCTCATGTGTCCACCATCTTGATTATTGTTATCTTCTCCTCTGCAGATTCTCCAGATTGGATGCATTTCAACAAACCATGCATGGGTGGGTTTCTACCGGTTTTGTCCACCTCTGTAGAATTGGTAGCTCTGAAGAGCAGCAGACATAGAACTGGTTCTATGTCTGCTGATGTTTTTGCCCACCCGCCCACCTGGGCTCTTACTTGATCTTTATTTCCTGATTTTTCAACTTCAGCTGCCGAATGAGGCACAGCTGCAGTTTAAAAAGCAGGAAAAAAGGGCTGTTTCAAAGGCTGCTTCTCGGCAGCAGCGTGCTAATGATGATTAACAGGCGGGCGGCTCACGGCGGGCAGGGAAGCTCGTAAATCCCAAATAACCCTGTCGTATCCCACCCCTGAAACCATGAACCATGGCTTACAACTGCAATGCTCTCAGAAGTAGAGAAATGCATTATGCACTATGCATTCATCGTAATCCATGAACCATGAGAAATTAAAATAGTTTTATGGAACTGCCACATTCAAAATTGAAAGGAAATCACATGATGGAAAATTAAAAGGAGAAAGGGTTGAAGTCACAGTATCACAACTTGTAAATTACATGCAGTGGGGAAGTATTGTATTATTTTATTTGGTGTTTATTTACACTTTTTGCCTCACTATTCCCCAATGATACAACATATTTTTCTATCCCAGAAGTTTATAAGCGACCTTTCTCTTAAAGAGATATATTATGTGTCCCTTTGTATGTATTGTGTTTTCCATATCATATTCTTCCCAGCTCCATGTGACATGCAGAACTGATTCAATGGATAAAAAGCATGGCTTGGTTAAGGGAAGAAAACCACAGCTTAGAAACCTGTTTAATGTTGGCTTGTTAATTCCAAGAAATGGAAGCTTTGTGGCTTAGTCTTAGTTCGTTTTTATACTGTGCCTAAACTTGTAACCAATTCACAAATGTTCAAAGCAAGACTTAAGGAAGCTAGCTACGATCAATTTTCCGTTTGAGAAGGCTGAATTTGCTGTGGTTTGGACTTTTTTTAAGTTAAATATGATATTTGCATTTATTTTAGTCTCTTCACTGGAGTTATTGGCATACGCAAAGGGATACATGTGTGTCGATAACCATGATCTGAGTACTTCTCTTGAAAGAACATTTGAGGGAGACAAATAAAACTAAAGCCAAGCATTTCACAACACTACAAGTAAGAAGTACAAAGTCAATATGACTATAAACCTCGTGGTTAGTTTGGCTAGTTCATTGTGTGTGGGTGTGTTGAATTTTCTGCTTGCTAGATACACCATTTTTTGTCTTTAGGAAACTTGACCTAACTTCAGCAAAACAAAGATAATTATTTAGATATATAGATGTATATCAATTGAATTAATCATGATTTTGTTAACCATGGATTCTGGCATGCTGATTGAGTCCAAAAGCCCTCAAGTCTCCAATATACAGGTAGTTCTCAACTTACGACCAGAGTTGGAGCCCAAAATTTATGTTGTTAAGTGAAACATTTGTTAAGTGAACTGTGCTCTATTTCCCTGATGACAAACCTATGGCACGCATGTCGGAAGTGGCACGCAGAGCCATTTCTGTCAGCACATGAGCTGTCGACTGGAAGAGATGCACTGCGCATGAGCCTCCCGACAGCCAGCTGATTGCCAGGTATCTACCATGCATACACGGGGGGTCAGGGCACACGTGCAAGATGCACGCATGTGGGGTTGTGTGAGCATGCGCAGGGGGGGGTCACATGCGCATTGCATTATGGGTGCAGGCAATGACGAAAAGGTTAGCCATCACTGCCCTATTTCATGATCTTTTTTGCCATAGTTGTTAAGTGAATCAAGGCAGTTGTTAAGTGAGTAACATAGTTGTTAAATGAAGCTGGCTTCCCCCTTGATTTTGCTTGTCAGAAGGACGCAAAATGGGATTGTGTGATCCCAGGACATTGCAATTGTCATAAATATGAGGCAATTGTCAAGAGGCCAAATTTTGATCTCAGGAATGCTGCAACGGCCGTAAGAGTGAAAAATGGTCAAAAGTCACTTTTTCAGTGCCACTGTAACTTTAGCGGCCACTAAATGAACTCTTGTCATTCGAGGACTTACCTGCACCATTTTTGAAGAAAATCTTACCTTAGTAAAAATAAAATGTACGAAGCCACCTTCAAACGAGATGTTGAGCATGGATTGACCGTATCCACAATATCCGCCGGTGCTTGTGGCATTGGGATCAATATTAAAATATTCCAGATCGCCCTGTGAAATAGGCAAGACGTCAATGCATTAATTTCAACTGAGACTGACCAATTATTACCGCTTAGAAATTTAGAGCAAGAGAGAATAATTAGCTACACCTCTTTGGTCACCATATTACGAACAGGATATTGAGGTTTTGGGAAAATCACAAAAAAGAGGGGAGAAGTCAACTTATTTTCCAAAGCACCAGAAGGAAAGATAAGAAACAATGGATGGAAACTAATCAAGGAGAGAAGCAACCTGGAATTCGGGAGAAACTTCCTAATAGTGAGGACAATCAACCAGTGGAACGGCTTCCCTTAAGAAGTTGTGGACGCTTCATCACTGGTTTCTTTTTTTTAAAAAAGAGCCTGGACAGTCGCTTGTCTGAAAAGTATTTTGTGAAGTATTTCACAAGAAGAGTACTACACTCCTCTGCTCGCAACAGAATACCCTACACCACCAGGCTTGAAATGTTGGGCTCGGACAACCTAGAATACGACTTCAGCAATTGAGTGGTCAATGTTTGGAATACTCTACCTGACTCTGTGGTTTCTTCCCCAAACCCCCAAAACTTGAACCTTAGACTGTCTACTATTGACCTCACCCCTTTCCTAAGAGGTCTGTAGGGGGTGTGCATAAGCGCACCAACGTGCCTACCGTCCCTGTCCTATTGTTTCTTTTTTATTTTTCTTATATGTATCCATGTATTCATAACTATGTTTTTACTTATACCTATTATCTTGTAAGCAATTGACAAACCAAATAAAAAAAAAAAAAAAAAATAAAACTACGCCGCCTACATTTGGACTTAAGCGTAGTACACAAAATTATCTGCTACAATGTCCTACTCGTCAATGACTACTTCAGCTTCAACTACAACAATACAGGAGCACACAACAGACACAAACTCAACACTCTGAACTTGATTGCAGAAAGTACGACTTCAGCAACAGAGTGGTCAATGCCTGGAATGCACTATCTGACTCTTTAATTACATCCTAACCCCTACTCCTTTAACCTCAAACTGTAATTGGGTGTGGTTCCGCAAACGGCCATAAGATGGAGCCAGAAACCTGGGTTGCTTAGTCTCAGAAGAGAGTCTCAGTGAAGTGAGTGAGTCTCTGTTTTCTTCTGTTGGAAAGAGTTGCCGTTCCTCCATTTTTCCCTAATGACAGGTTACTGATCATTGATGTAAGTATGCTACTGAACTGTTTTTGATACTGGACTTTGATATTGGAATTATCCTTGAAATGAACACTGACTGCTTTACCTGTGAATGACTTGGACTGTGTTTGGACTGTGCTTAAACGTTTATTGAAAGTAAAAACCTACATTAACTGTACAGTGTATCTGTGTGCTGTGTGTGTATTATTGAAACACTTATCTCACTACGTCTCCCTGTATGCGCTCATTCTCCTAACGGGGAATTACCTCAACCCCCCCCATGCCTCCTGTGCATGTGTGTGCAACCCATGTGACTCGTGCATGTGTGTGCAACCCATGTGACACGCTTCTGCACATGTGCCAGATACCTGACAATCAGCTGGCGGGCAGGTGGTGCATGCGCTGTAGACCTTTTCAGGGCAAGTACTCACATGCCAGCTGTAATGGCTCTGCGTGGCACTTCTGGCACATGTGCCATAGGTTCGCCACCACAGGTATAGGATCACCTGCTTAAGCAGGGGGTTGGACTAGAAGACCTCCCAGGTCCCTTCCAGCTCTGATTCTGACTTCTCTCATCTTTAAAAACCTTAATTTTTAGGGTCACTTGTCTGGGGGAGACTGGATTAAACCCTTTCTGACAATACAAGGAACAAAAAGAAAGAAAGGAGTTGGGACAGCTAGGCAGCTGCTTACTGTTTTAGTGTTTGTAACGATCATCGTCAAGCCAATTAAGGCTTTAATGCAATCTGTGGTTCCGTTGAAAACACTGTAAGTGCCCGTAACAGCGGGTGACGGTTGAGGCGCCAATGTTGGTCCAGTTTGATTTGTTGGCCTAGGGGAAGAAGTCGTATTCTTGTGTGCTGCAGAACTGGTTGTCACAATGGTTGTGTGTTTCCTCAGCTTCGTGGTGTGCTGCTCAGTAGCCCCGGAGACGGTCTTATCTACATTTTCCTTAGTTGTGCTCTGAACAGGAATCTCCCTTTTCCGACTAGCTGATAGTGGCAGGGTTGAGGTTGTTTCTTCAGACGCTGTTCTTGGTTTGTGGGCTTTGGTCCAATCCGTTTGTGGCTCAGATGGCAAAAGTGTTGTTGTCCTTGCAGCCGCTATGGTTTTCCACACAGCCTGCAATTTTGTCAGTGGGGTGGATTTTGCCTTTGACATCTCAGCCGTGGGCGCTGAAGGGATTCCTCGTCCTATGCCATGGCCTGATGATTGATTGGCCAAAGCTTGTGAATGACTGTATGGACGAATTGTGGCTTGGGAATTGGAAAGAGGGGAGAGATCTGGAAGTGGTACTCTTTGCAGAAATGAGGTGGGTCGTAGGGTTGTCCTACCTGGAGCCTCTTTATCCGGCACGTGACCAGTGCAAGAAAAGACTGTTGTGCACAAAAAAAGAGAGTTAGTCTTGTTTTCCATCAGCTTTCATTACTATGCATGTCCCTGAGCTTCTTCATGTACCTCAATAAAAAAAAATGAATTCTCCTTAGCCTAAGTTATTGGTGTATTTTCTAAATTTGCTTGCCACTATGGAACTGTGATTATGGAAAGATTATAATCTTTATTAATAGCGCTTTACAAAGCCTTAGTAAGACCACACTTGGAATACTGCATCCTGTTTTGGTCATTACATGATAAAAAAGATGTTGAGACTCTAGAAAGAGTGCAGAGAAGAGCAACCAGGATGATTAGGGGCCTGGAGGCTAAAACATATGAAGAACGGTTGCTGGAATTGGGTATTGCTGGTCTAGTGAAAAGAAGGACTAGGAGGGGCATTATAGCAGTGTTCCAATATTTGAGGGGCTGCCACAAAGAAGAGGGAATCAACCTATTCTCCAAAAGACCTGAGGGCAGGACAAGAAACAATGGATGGAAACTAATCAAGGAGAGAAGCAACTTAGAACTAAGGGGAAGTTTTCTGACAGTGAGAACAATTAACCAGTGGAACTGCTTGGCTCCAGAAGTTGTGAATGCTCCAACCCTGGAAGATTTTAAGAAGAGATTGGATAAACCATTTGTCTGCAATGGTATAAGAGTCTCTTGCTTGAGCAAGGGGGTTGGGATAGAAGACCTCCAAGGTCCCTCCCAACTCTGTTGTTCTGTTTGAGTTTTGTTAGAGTTTATGCTGCTGGAAAGAGGAGGATGGGGGAGGGGGAGAAGAAGAAGAAAGAAGAAGAAGAAGAAGAAGAAGAAGAAGAAGAAGAAGAAGAAGAAGAAGAAGAAGAAGAAGAAGAAGAAGAAGAAGAAGAAGAAGAAGAAGAAGAAGAAGAAGAAGAAGAAGAAGAGGAAGAGGAGGAGGAGGAGG